TTATTATAGATAATAGATAGTTTTCATATAACGTAATATAAAGACAATTATATAAAATAGAGTGAGTAAAGAGGTAAAGCTGATGTAAAATGATACACTAGGATAAGCAGTAAACTAATTATATTTGAAAAACGCTACAAAATACATTTGAATTTATCATTCTATGCCGCCCAGGAGGTAGCAGCAGCCATCATTACAAAGTTTCGACATGAAGAAGAGTCTCTTGTTGAAGGAAAAATAAAATCGAGAAAATTGCTACAGTAATATGTGTATGTTTTTCAAGCTTTTGTCATCGTAGATTTAATTCCTAAATAATTAAAACGTAATGATTTCAAATACAAGTAATCTGTATAGTGATAAACTAACCGCCACTCTATAGGTTATGTTATACTTTTACTTATTATTATTATGCATTGAGAGTAAAATGAAATATCAGCTGCCTTACTGTTCATGTTTCAGGCTATCTTTTTTTTTAGGTGATTTTAATAATTTATACCTTATGATGAGAAATACAAGATGTCAAGAAGACAGTCATGAGACGAAATACAATCGTTATAAACGTGGATTAAATAAAAGAAATGCTCTTCGTGGGTACATAAATAATAAATATGCAGACCAAGATTAAAAAAATAAATAAAAAAAATTCCGCATTCGATTAAAATTTAATAATGTATAATAGTTTTAAATACGAAGAGTAGAAATTAAAAATTTTATTTCTCTGTTCTGAGCGTATAAATTTATACGTAATATGAATCATTGCATGAAACGTTGAGGAATATGAAATTTAATTATAGACAGCATTATAAATCCTTGTGCTAATCTGTTTTGTATAGTTAATGTTAATTACTTTCCTTATTCTACACAATTAGAGAAGAGAGAAAGAAGAGGAGAGAGAGAGAGAAACGACACCGCATTAACTTAAACGTTTAATGCTTACGTTCTTAATACATTTTCTTGAACATAAAGAAATAAGTCCTTTAAAACGAGTGCAAAACTTTGATATGGAATATTTTCGGAGGCAAACAGTTTTATTTTAACTTATAAATTATCCAAAAACTTCTTATTTTTAAGCTTAAAATTGCGAATTTAAAGGCGAAGTCACTACTTTGACGAAATTTATGATTCAATTACACGGCATTATTTTTTGGTGTAGGTATATACGCTTCGGTGATTGTTTTATGTAGTTCGCTGTTAAATATTTGAATATAAAAGAACGAATTTTCAACTAATCTCCTGGTCATTCGAACCATAATAAAAATCCACCCTCAATATATCATCGCTTGACATTAATAAAAGCGATATATATATACGAGTATATATTTCTCTTTCAGTTATGGATAAAAATTTAGTGAAAGGAAAAACAGTTTAAATTTTTTAAAAGAAGAAAAAAAAATCAATTTGTTTAAAGTAATAAATCAATTTTTCTTTTATATTTTAAGCCGAAGCAATTTTTGAATGTTTAAGCAAAAGATCGATTTTTGTTTCATAAGTAGGCTTCTCTGTATATTATTACAGAACAATCGATCAAATTTGATGTAAATTTGAAAATAAATCTATTTATCATATATATATTCTATGTAATATATATATACCAACAGCAGTATATACATATCAGAGAATAGAGGAAAACGTTTAATTGATTTTTGGCTTTAAAAATGTCAGACATTACCTAAACTCCTTACTTGATTTTTAATGGATTATCCTCTGGTTATAAATTATAAAATTAGAAAAACGATTGATAAAATTGAAATAAATTGTTCTTTAATGAAAAAAAATATATTTTTTTTTCTTGTAGATATTTCACTAAAATCGATTTACAATTCATGATATAAATTTTATCAATTAAATTAGATTATACAAGGATCATTCAGAGATCGATTGTGGCCTGGGATTGTGGAATTAAAACTCTTATATATATATATATATATATATTTAAAAGAGTAATTAATTATTATTCTATTTTTTCTTTCAATTTTTAAACTTCTAACATAAGATACTAAATTTATACTTTCCAACTAAATACTTAAAAATAGATTTTAGTTTACTAAATAAATATTTAAACGAGTAAACAAGTAGTCAAGAAGCAGATTAGTTTTTTTTTCTAATTTCGTTACCGATTTAAGAAACTTTAATTATATTTAAAAGTAATCTCGTATACTTTTTATACTCAGATATGACGTAATATATGAGGCATTACAAATGTAATTTATTTATTATTACAAATAAAATTTAAAAAAAAAAAACGTAATTGTTACGGTTAAAACGTATCAAAGTATAATGGAAATTTTTTAAAATATTTTCTATAAGAATCAATTTTAAATCTGTTGAATAATCTTATTTTTGCGCTTAAACATTATAAGATTATACCGTGTTTTTTCGATTATCTTGTTTATGGATTAAATTTATTGGCATTACGTACATTTTTAAAATTTCAAACACTTTTTATTTCGTTTATAAATCCCGAATTCTTTACGAAGTTTGCTAAAAAAATCTTTCAAAATTTAAAATTAATAATCGATTGGGAGAGTGATAAGCGCTTCGATAGATTTCGTTTAATGATATTTGTATAGAATATTTTTTTTATAAGATTTAGATATGTTACGCGTGATATATGTATTATCAGGATTGGATAACAAGAGTATCTAATGTTGCTGTTCTCTCTGTTATCTCTCAGTTCGGCAATTCCCCTGACAGATTCAATCGACAACAGTCACTTTTCGTGACAGACTCGAGCTTCGGAAGAGCACGATTCAACGTCACGTCAATCCTTCCCGTTCGTAATAATCTGAACGTAATACGAGTAAACCGAATCTTAATTATTTATACCCAAAGAAACTTATTAAAAATCATTTTATTCGTAACAAGCTCGAACCAATTAATTGGTAATTTAAGCTGTAAAAAATTGACAGAAGCTTGTTATTAAACTGAGTGGATTTGATTAAAATATTTTAGAAATTACACGCCTCGTTCAAGTGTATTTATCGAGTACATTTAAAAATGAATGTATTTTTTCCCCCTCTCTTCTTCTTCTTTTCTTTCTTTACACAAGAAACGTCACTTACAGATTTTACTTCTGCATAATTAAATGTGCCATTTTTCTGTTTACTTTGGTCTTGTACTTAAAATAAGGAAAATAAAATAATTAATAATGCAGAAAGGATGATGTACCGCATCAAAAAGATTTATGTGAAATCCTTTCGAGTGTATTTCCTTTATAAAATTGGATTTTGATGGAAATTTACTAACAGAAGGAAACCATCAGATGTCACGACTGGTATCTAATTCCCTTCAGATTTTGGATAAATATATTATTCCCTTTACTGTTAATTTGCTTCTAGAAATCCTTCGTTTTAAGAAAGCTTTCTACGAGAAAGCAAAGCATATAATATAATAATTACGTACAAATAAATATTAATTAAATCGTTATTACATTATTTGATTTTGATAATAATCTGTTACTCGATGAATGTGTAGTTTAATTATTAATGCATCAATTAAAGTAGCATCCATTCAAGTCTTTTTCTTCTATTTAAAGCAGGGGAAAAGGTTTTTTTTTATTATTTAAATACTATACATAATTCGTTTAATATAATTGATTATTTTCGATATTAATTTTCTATAAATATCCTTTTACTCGAGAATAGTAACACGGTTTTTATATATAGATTTTAGTATTAGAATAATCAATAAAATTTCAAAATAATATTTAATGCTGATGACACATATTTTTCTTGAAAATATATTTTCAAATTTATAGTATTAAGTTTCACAATTTTAAACAGAGAATCTGTTATAAATTACTTATAAAAGTGTTAATTATTATTTCAAATAGTTTGAATTATATACTGAATAATGTAACTTAAAAGGTGGTAAATTATACATTTAAAATCGATATTGTATATATGTTGTGTTTCATATATTATATATATTTCTGAATTGCCTTTTGTTACAAAATGAAAATTGATTAAGTTCTTACTTAACAAGACGATATCAGGAGTGACTTTTATTTCTATTCGATTAAACTACTTTTACTTCTATTTTGAATAGGAACGAATCGAAATCAATATGCTAAATAGGTATCTCGATGAGTTTTACAGTTGCTATTATGTTCATTTGCAAATATCTCTTACGAGTATGATCTTCTTTCCAATTTTCTGATGTAACTTATGCCAATAAATCATCTTTATAATTTTGTAAGAAAGAAAAAAAAGTAAAGCTCAAAATGCATTATTCAATAAAAACAATACTACAACGAAAGAAAAGAAACTCTACAATACAAGGACGTTGAAGAAGCAAATTTCAATTTTTTTTATTCTGAATAGAGAAATCGATTCCATTAGAGAATTAAAAAGATTAAAACAACTACGACCCGAAATATATAAAATTTTTATTGTTTATTTATTTTTGTTTTTTCGTCTATTATCAATAATTCTGTTTGAACATCTGTTATTTATTCTTTCGATAATATCTAGAATATGCGCGCTTTAAATCTTTATTGATTACAATGGATTTGGGATATAAATTTTAAATTATATAGTAAATCATAAATTTGATACATCTATATTTATCATTTTTTTTAAATTTACTTTTTAAGTATTTTTTTTTCTATTAACAAGTGTTAATAGAAAATAAATACTGTAAATGAATTGAGAAAAGCCTTTAATAAAAGACTTTTGTTCTCTTTCTCTTGGACATTCTCTTGCATTTCTTTACATTCTTTAAATAAAAAAAAACCATCATGAATAATCTATTGTTTTCTTCTCGTCTTCTATGTCTAAATCTCAATCTCCCAGTCCTATCAATCAGTCTTCTATTCCCGAAACTCAAACTTGTGATATAACTTAAATTTCACCTTTATTCTTTGTATTTCTATTCCAGTTTTTTTTTCTTTTAAATATATAAATTCCCGTATGGATTGAGAATTCTTTGTGGATAAGATTTAAAATTATTTTAAGCCTGAAGAATACTTACAGAATTTTTTATTTTTTTTATTTTTACAGATGGAAAAGCTGATCCGAGAAATGCAAGATTCTGACATGGGCGTTCCTGTGCGAAGTCAGAAAACATTTCTCAGTTCAATTCCCTGCGCATTTTTAGGTAAATACACAACTTTATTATTCTTATGTCTATCGTAGCGTATTCTCGTAATGTTTACAGTAGCATAACTACCATTAAAGTAGAAAATCAATGACATCCCTTATTAAGCAAAGAGAGAAGGCTAATAAAATGATAGATGACATGCTGGCTTCTATTCTTTTCCCGCTAGAATGGTATCAGTATTTTAGTTACATTCAATAACTGCTGGAAGCCGTTTGGAAGTGACATGCACGTGTCTTGATGGACGTTAATGTTTCGGACGGCAGGAAGCTTTTGATTTTCACTCATCTTCTTTTTTACCTCTAATCCCGTAGAAAGATGATAGTATAACTTGTCATAAACTGCTGCAAGTAGAAATGATCCAGTAGAAATGATGGATTAATAAAAGAATTGAACAAACTTACAAGAAATCGATTGGTTAATATTGAAACATCTATTCTTTGCCAGGAAAAGTAATTTCTGTATTACTCAATGGCCCGATTTTTTTATTATTATTAAAAAAGAAATAAAATAATAATATATAAGCTTATGTAATTAAAATTTTTTTATATATTTTTTTTCTATTATGCTCCAGTGTTATAAAACTTGATTACTTCGTAAAGCTGTCTTTTGAAGAGTATGAAACTAGTAATGATTTTTTTAATTTTGAACTTTTTCCTTTATTAATTTACGACACGCAGACTTTATTTTCAGTTTAGATCATAATTATTTTTGTGTTCTTCATTTTATTTTTTTTTTATTCTGTCGAGAACGTGAACAGTCGTGAGGAAATTATTAAATTTTTTTTTTTAAATCGAAGTAACAATATTGACTTTGTAGTTAAAAAAAATAATTTTTTTATCTTCTTATTTATTTTTTAAAAACAATGGTGTTGACTTTATTAAAATCTGTATTATAATATCACTGTCAGACTCCCTTTTATAGTAAGAAATTGTTATTGACAAGATTAAATGATCTTTGAATATATAAAATTTAAACTTTAATCGTGTTTCTACAATAAAATTTTTGTGATATATNTATTTATTCATTAAATAGAATCGTAATCGTCACATACTATTTCATTCGTTAATAGATTTAAATGTCATTCGTTTCAAGTACTGGCTGTCAAGTATTGACAAAGACAAGTCCATGTTGATTTTTATCACAGCTATTAATTGACTTCGCTCCATTTAAATTAAAACCAATAACGATTTCTCACTAAAATATTCGAGCAATTATTTAAGTATAACATTATACAGTCAACAGAGGTGCTAGGATTTTTACTCTTGGAGGGTGGACGTGGGGTGTTATCTGCATATTTTATCATCAATATATTTTTAAATTTAACAATCGATTTTCAGTAGCTTTACATTTAAAAAAATCTCAGTATTAATGGCTATTTTAAGTACAGGATTACAGATTTTGCTTTCCATCATTCTAAGATTAGTGGTAATTTGGCATTAGTGACTAATCCACCAAATTCGAACGATTAATGCACTAATCTCGGGCAAACACGGCGAAGATTTGTCTTAATTCGCGGAATATCTACATGAAAACGAAATAATAGAAAATTACTTTCGAATTCCTCTACGATCCAGTCCTATTAAAGTACAGTATTAGACGACCAACTATTTATCGAAAGACATAGACTCTAAAAGAACTCAAACACCTCTTACCTTTACATAATACAAGAAGAAATCATATCACCTCTATTGTAGTTACTGATTAATTTACGTTTTCTATGCAAGTGGAAACATTTATCGTGAAATGGGAGAACCGACAAACATCGAAATCAAATGTATGTTGGATAATTAAAACTGTGTCTAAAGCTTTGGGGAACCTTACAGATAAGTGCATCGCATTTACATACGTTTAAATTTGCCATACGTGTGCCGGGCTGTGAACGGCTCGCGTATTTGTAAAATCTAAGTGACTCGTACAACATGGAATTCATATAACACGGAATTATCTACAGTGTTATAGTGGGGGTCTACCGTATCATTTTGAACCATTATTGTAATGTTTATAAAGTAATTAAATATTTGAATAAGACAGAAAGTTAGTCTTTATAACGGTTAACTGACTTTTAGTTCAATCCTGAATATTATAAAATTGTTTTACATTATGCTTTAGTAATGTTTTTATGGTCTTGTAGGCTTACTAGACCTAAAAATGTATCCAAGAATTAGCATTTTTCAAGGATTAAGAATATATAAATATATACGAATTCCAAATTAACGTAATTTATAAAAAAAGAAAGGTTAATTTAAAACTTGTAACACTTTTTTTTTATATGAATTATAGATTGAAAAAGAAAACAGTAGATTTTGAAATACTGTTATAATAACAAAAAGTGGAAAAATTCGAAAAGAAAAACATCTCAGTCACACCTGTTAGCGATCTTTTTCTTTTCTTTTTTTTAACTTTTGTCAAAGTTTTGATGATGTGACAGAACTTAGAGATATCTTCACGGTTTATTATTTTTTCTCTATTTTTGAAAAGTGTAGCAGTCATTTGTTCGTCTTTTCGGCATTTCTTCCTGTCAGAATTTTAATAAATGCTTACGATGTCTGGCACAATACATCTACACACTTGTACGCGCGCTGTTATTATCTTATACAATACTCTTACAATTAAAATTAATAGTTATCATCTGTTAGAGACAGCGATTTACTTGTATAGTACATTATTAAGTATTATAAATACAGTATAGAAGTAAATTAGTTTTAAAAACTCTTACTATTTTAACGAAAGTAGAAGCAAACTTTTAAAGTAGTTATTATCAACAGAATTTAAAGATTTAAATCAAAAGCTTGATTATATATATATATTTTTTTACTTTTTCCTTCCCCCTTTGTATACAGTAGTTAATAACCAATGGTTTTTCAAGGATATTATAGATTAAGAGGATACTATTATTATTTTTTCTTTTTAATTGAACATTTGCCTGGAAGATACAACCATTATTTGAGTTAAAGCTTGTTTGAGAAACAAAGTAAATACAAAGTAATAAAATTAATTATGTTTACTGTATTTAATTGGTAAAAATATTTGCTAATAAATAGTTTATAAAATATTTTATAAATTTTTAATATAAAGTATGGGCACATATTGTGTATCAATACGTCTCCCCATCAATGTATAAACGTTTTTACTTAAAAAAAAAGAGCGTGCATATTTACGTTGATCGTTTTAGACAGTACGAGGCCCTATACAAGCGTGTACTTGCGAGTCTTCTATTTTATATAAGTTTATTACACAATACTTAATAATGTTGTATGATCCTGGATCTTGATACTATTGAATTTCGAACGTTTTATAACCCATTTTTATAGGTTTTAAAGCTACAGGAGCAAAATTGATTGGCGCTCTCGTTCTTGAAAATCTCGCTCCATCCCTCACATATCAAATAGTGGTCCTGGACGCCTTCCTGAAATTTCATTCTTATAATCACCAAGCCCTTTCAAATGTATTTGTATTTAATCTTCAAATAAATTTTGTTTTTTTAAATTTTCTTATGAAGAATTTCAAGCAACGTTAATAACATTTGTAGAATTTTTGTTAAATTAACAAAATCGTGACTATTTATTAACTTTACTTAATATGACATTTACTTAATCAATCAAAACGCACTTAAATAGAAGTTGTTCTGAAGAATATTAGACACTGCAATCTCAGGTGAGTACAGTACTGAACCCATCATCTTGTGCTCCTTTCCATTTGGACAAATGCTTATCACAGCCTGAGCAACTAGAATCACTACCTGGACAATACCCCAGGTAGTTATTACGTTAAATAAGGCTCTGAAACTATATGAAGACTGAGTTATCGGAAAACATATCATCGAGTATGAGATCCCTAACTCCATGCCTTAGGCTTTGCCTAGGATCTCTTGCTTATCCTATACTATTCTATTGAATAGATCTATTCCTAGAACTACCATTACACATCGAAAAATAATTGTGATTGCTGAATATCTACGACATTTAAATGCTATATTTATTCATTAAATAGAATCGTAATCGTCACATACTATTTCATTCGTTAATAGATTTAAATGTCATTCGTTTCAAGTACTGGCTGTCAAGTATTGACAAAGACAAGTCCATGTTGATTTTTATCACAGCTATTAATTGACTTCGCTCCATTTAAATTAAAACCAATAACGATTTCTCACTAAAATATTCGAGCAATTATTTAAATTTTTAATTACGATTTATATTAAATAATATCTATTAATTAATACTTTAAATTTTTTTTTTAATATTATAATTGTAGTTCTATTCATTATATAATCTTACTTATATGTAATTAAACTTAAGAACTGTCTGTGTTGAGAAATATTTGCAATCATTTGAGGATCCTTCATATTCTCCACATCACAATCACTAATAAATTCAAACATCATTCACTTTAAATGAAGAGAGGATGGAGATGCTTGAAATGACAGGAAATCTTGAGAGTAGCTATTCCTTGTATATCCGTCACGCAATTAATTACCAAGGTGATAAATAGTAAAACTCAATTTTGTCCATCCATTTAATTATCTGATAAATACTAATTTTATGCCTTTAGGTCTAGTTTATCACTTTATAACTTTATATCTTTAATTAGACTACATGGAATTTTTCCTTAATTCGATAAACGTTTTTATATTTAAATCAGCAAAAATTATAATAATTTTTTAATCATTTATTTTTAATTTTTAATGAATAGAAAACGATAAATTTATTTCATCGATAACCTTATTTGACATACGAATCTAAACGACGAGGAACTTAATAATAGAGATGTTAATTATTAAATCATAAAGACGAATTTAAATAGCTTCAAACTAAAATTATATAAGATCATCATATACATAATTAGGCTACATCTAAAGTAATAAACTTAATTTTTATCTATCAGATTGTAGTACATTGTTCTCTGTACAAAGGACAGGCAGTCATAATTAAATACAAATATTAGTTTCAAACTTTATATACCTTAAAATGGAAATTTTGTAATGTTCTTCGGGCACGAAAAGAAAAGTCAATAGTAAAACCAAATTTAAAACTTTTCTTTAGGGCTGATCAGTAAAACGAAACGTAATGGAATCGGCGTAACTCAGTAATACACTTTGAAATAGTCAATTACAGTTGAAAAAAATGCATTCTCGTGATTAAAACGTGTTTCATTTTAAAGGCACGCTGATTTTTGTTAAATTAATTATAATTAATATAAAATATCAATCATAAACAATGAAAATACAATACAATTCAATTCAACTTTTTATTGTATTTTAAAAATTACTTTGTTACAAATGATTACAATCTTTGTAACAATCAATCAAAATAACGAAATATGAATCATATAAATTTATTATAAGCCCTACTAATATATATATATTCATAGATTAGTGTCTTATTATTAATAAAGAAGATATCTGTAGTTTCATTCGCGATTTCTGTAATAACTTAATTATAATTAATAATGTAAAAAAAAAATGTTGTAAGAAAAACTTACATTCAATTCAAATTTCACTTCTCTACAATATTAAAATAATATTTAAGTAATTTAAGTAAAAGAAAGAAAAAAAAAGTCATTTTAAATTAAATTTTTTTCATCAAATTATCCATNTTTGTTCTCTTTCTCTTGGACATTCTCTTGCATTTCTTTACATTCTTTAAATAAAAAAAAAACCATCATGAATAATCTATTGTTTTCTTCTCGTCTTCTATGTCTAAATCTCAATCTCCCAGTCCTATCAATCAGTCTTCTATTCCCGAAACTCAAACTTGTGATATAACTTAAATTTCACCTTTATTCTTTGTATTTCTATTCCAGTTTTTTTTTCTTTTAAATATATAAATTCCCGTATGGATTGAGAATTCTTTGTGGATAAGATTTAAAATTATTTTAAGCCTGAAGAATACTTACAGAATTTTTTATTTTTTTTATTTTTACAGATGGAAAAGCTGATCCGAGAAATGCAAGATTCTGACATGGGCGTTCCTGTGCGAAGTCAGAAAACATTTCTCAGTTCAATTCCCTGCGCATTTTTAGGTAAATACACAACTTTATTATTCTTATGTCTATCGTAGCGTATTCTCGTAATGTTTACAGTAGCATAACTACCATTAAAGTAGAAAATCAATGACATCCCTTATTAAGCAAAGAGAGAAGGCTAATAAAATGATAGATGACATGCTGGCTTCTATTCTTTTCCCGCTAGAATGGTATCAGTATTTTAGTTACATTCAATAACTGCTGGAAGCCGTTTGGAAGTGACATGCACGTGTCTTGATGGACGTTAATGTTTCGGACGGCAGGAAGCTTTTGATTTTCACTCATCTTCTTTTTTACCTCTAATCCCGTAGAAAGATGATAGTATAACTTGTCATAAACTGCTGCAAGTAGAAATGATCCAGTAGAAATGATGGATTAATAAAAGAATTGAACAAACTTACAAGAAATCGATTGGTTAATATTGAAACATCTATTCTTTGCCAGGAAAAGTAATTTCTGTATTACTCAATGGCCCGATTTTTTTATTATTATTAAAAAAGAAATAAAATAATAATATATAAGCTTATGTAATTAAAATTTTTTTATATATTTTTTTCTATTATGCTCCAGTGTTATAAAACTTGATTACTTCGTAAAGCTGTCTTTTGAAGAGTATGAAACTAGTAATGATTTTTTTAATTTTGAACTTTTTCCTTTATTAATTTACGACACGCAGACTTTATTTTCAGTTTAGATCATAATTATTTTTGTGTTCTTCATTTTATTTATTCTGTCGAGAACGTGAACAGTCGTGAGGAAATTATTAAATTTTTTTTTTTAATCGAAGTAACAATATTGACTTTGTAGTTAAAAAAAAATAATTTTTTTTTATCTTCTTATTTATTTTTCAAAAACAATGGTGTTGACTTTATTAAAATCTGTATTATAATATCACTGTCAGACTCCCTTTTATAGTAAGAAATTGTTATTGACAAGATTAAATGATCTTTGAATATATAAAATTTAAACTTTAATCGTGTTTCTACAATAAAATTTTTGTGATATATTTTATTATTATTATTACTATTATTTTAAAATGTTTAAATTAACATTCAATTTTATCAAGATTTACCTTTCTAAATTTAAAATTATTCTAAAAATATTAACATTTCTCTCGCTTAATCTCTTATGTAAAAGTATTAAAAAACAAAGCAATAATATAAGTAAAAAAATGTTAAATATTTATATAGAGCATATAAATATATTTTATATTATTTAAGTATAACATTATACAGTCAACAGAGGTGCTAGGATTTTTACTCTTGGAGGGTGGACGTGGGGTGTTATCTGCATATTTTATCATCAATATATTTTTAAATTTAACAATCGATTTTCAGTAGCTTTACATTTAAAAAAATCTCAGTATTAATGGCTATTTTAAGTACAGGATTACAGATTTTGCTTTCCATCATTCTAAGATTAGTGGTAATTTGGCATTAGTGACTAATCCACCAAATTCGAACGATTAATGCACTAATCTCGGGCAAACACGGCGAAGATTTGTCTTAATTCGCGGAATATCTACATGAAAACGAAATAATAGAAAATTACTTTCGAATTCCTCTACGATCCAGTCCTATTAAAGTACAGTATTAGACGACCAACTATTTATCGAAAGACATAGACTCTAAAAGAACTCAAACACCTCTTACCTTTACATAATACAAGAAGAAATCATATCACCTCTATTGTAGTTACTGATTAATTTACGTTTTCTATGCAAGTGGAAACATTTATCGTGAAATGGGAGAACCGACAAACATCGAAATCAAATGTATGTTGGATAATTAAAACTGTGTCTAAAGCTTTGGGGAACCTTACAGATAAGTGCATCGCATTTACATACGTTTAAATTTGCCATACGTGTGCCGGGCTGTGAACGGCTCGCGTATTTGTAAAATCTAAGTGACTCGTACAACATGGAATTCATATAACACGGAATTATCTACAGTGTTATAGTGGGGGTCTACCGTATCATTTTGAACCATTATTGTAATGTTTATAAAGTAATTAAATATTTGAATAAGACAGAAAGTTAGTCTTTATAACGGTTAACTGACTTTTAGTTCAATCCTGAATATTATAAAATTGTTTTACATTATGCTTTAGTAATGTTTTTATGGCCTTGTAGGCTTACTAGACCTAAAAATGTATCCAAGAATTAGCATTTTTCAAGGATTAAGAATATATAAATATATACGAATTCCAAATTAATGTAATTTATAAAAAAATAAAGGTTAATTTAAAACTTGTAACACTTTTTTTTTATATGAATTATAGATTGAAAAAGAAAACAGTAGATTTTGAAATACTGTTATAATAACAAAAAGTGGAAAAATTCGAAAAGAAAAACATCTCAGTCACACCTGTTAGCGATCTTTTTCTTTTCTTTTTTTTAACTTTTGTCAAAGTTTTGATGATGTGACAGAACTTAGAGATATCTTCACGGTTTATTATTTTTTCTCTATTTTTGAAAAGTGTAGCAGTCATTTGTTCGTCTTTTCGGCATTTCTTCCTGTCAGAATTTTAATAAATGCTTACGATGTCTGGCACAATACATCTACACACTTGTACGCGCGCTGTTATTATCTTATACAATACTCTTACAATTAAAATTAATAGTTATCATCTGTTAGAGACAGCGATTTACTTGTATAGTACATTATTAAGTATTATAAATACAGTATAGAAGTAAATTAGTTTTAAAAACTCTTACTATTTTAACGAAAGTAGAAGCAAACTTTTAAAGTAGTTATTATCAACAGAATTTAAAGATTTAAATCAAAAGCTTGATTATATATATATATTTTTTTACTTTTTCCTTCCCCCTTTGTATACAGTAGTTAATAACCAATGGTTTTTCAAGGATATTATAGATTAAGAGGATACTATTATTATTTTTTCTTTTTAATTGAACATTTGCCTGGAAGATACAACCATTATTTGAGTTAAAGCTTGTTTGAGAAACAAAGTAAATACAAAGTAATAAAATTAATTATGTTTACTGTATTTAATTGGTAAAAATATTTGCTAATAAATAGTTTATAAAATATTTTATAAATTTTTAATATAAAGTATGGGCACATATTGTGTATCAATACGTCTCCCCATCAATGTATAAACGTTTTTACTTAAAAAAAAAGAGCGTGCATATTTACGTTGATCGTTTTAGACAGTACGAGGCCCTATACAAGCGTGTACTTGCGAGTCTTCTATTTTATATAAGTTTATTACACAATACTTAATGTTGTATGATCATGGATCTTGATACTATTGAATTTCGAACGTTTTATAACCCATTTTTATAGGTTTTAAAGCTACAGGAGCAAAATTGACTGGCGCTCTCGTTCTTGAAAATCTCGCCCCATCCCTCACATGTCAAATAGTGGTCCTGGACGCCTTCCTGAAATTTCATTCTTATAATCACCAAGCCCTTTCAAATGTATTTGTATTTAATCTTCAAATAAATTTTGTTTTTTTAAATTTTCTTATGAAGAATTTCAAGCAACGTTAATAACATTTGTAGAATTTTTGTTAAATTAACAAAATCGTGACTATTTATTAACTTTACTTAATATGACATTTACTTAATCAATCAAAACGCACTTAAATAGAAGTTGTTCTGAAGAATATTAGACACTGCAATCTCAGGTGAGTACAGTACTGAACCCATCATCTTGTGCTCCTTTCCATTTGGACAAATGCTTATCACAGCCTGAGCAACTAGAATCACTACCTGGACAATACCCCAGGTAGTTATTACGTTAAATAAGGCTCTGAAACTATATGAAGACTGAGTTATCGGAAAACATATCATCGAGTATGAGATCCCTAACTCCATGCCTTAGGCTTTGCCTAGGATCTCTTGCTTATCCTATACTATTCTATTGAATAGATCTATTCCTAGAACTACCATTACACATCGAAAAATAATTGTGATTGCTGAATATCTACGACATTTAAATGCTATATTTATTCATTAAATAGAATTGTAATCGTCACATACTATTTCATTCGTTAATAGATTTAAATGTCATTCGTTTCAAGTACTGGCTGTCAAGTATTGACAAAGACAAGTCCATGTTGATTTTTATCACAGCTATTAATTGACTTCGCTCCATTTAAATTAAAACCAATAACGATTTCTCACTAAAATATTCGAGCAATTATTTAAATTTTTAATTACGATTTATATTAAATAATATCTATTAATTAATACTTTAAATTTTTTTTTTTAATATTATAATTGTAGTTCTATTCATTATATAATCTTACTTATATGTAATTAAACTTAAGAACTGTCTGTGTTGAGAAATATTTGCAATCATTTGAGGATCCTTCATATTCTCCACATCACAATCACTAATAAATTCAAACATCATTCACTTTAAATGAAGAGAGGATGGAGATGCTTGAAATGACAGGAAATCTTGAGAGTAGCTATTCCTTGTATATCCGTCACGCAATTAATTACCAAGGTGATAAATAGTAAAACTCAATTTTGTCCATCCATTTAATTATCTGATAAATACTAATTTTATGCCTTTAGGTCTAGTTTATCACTTTATAACTTTATATCTTTAATTAGACTACATGGAATTTTTCCTTAATTCGATAAACGTTTTTATATTTAAATCAGCAAAAATTATAATAATTTTTTAATCATTTATTTTTAATTTTTAATGAATAGAAAACGATAAATTTATTTCATCGATAACCTTATTTGACATACGAATCTAAACGACGAGGAACTTAATAATAGAGATGTTAATTATTAAATCATAAAGACGAATTTAAATAGCTTCAAACTAAAATTATATAAGATCATCATATACATAATTAGGCTACATCTAAAGTAATAAACTTAATTTTTATCTATCAGATTGTAGTACATTGTTCTCTGTACAAAGGACAGGCAGTCATAATTAAATACAAATATTAGTTTCAAACTTTATATACCTTAAAATGGAAATTTTGTAATGTTCTTCGGGCACGAA